GTAATGGCTTCGCATCTAAGGGGAAGTGGAACACATCCAGAACCAGTATTACTCAAAGTACAACTTGAATCATATGTTTAGCAATCTGCATGAGTTGATGTGGTTGATGAAGCTAGTACACATTCTCTTTTATAGCATTTTCCTTTCCAAATACAGGCTTTATTATTGTAATCTTTATCGCAAATAGCTTAGGCTAATGAGTTTTCGCATGTTTTATCAACACAACCTGCGTTGGTTGAATTTACTGTACAAGTTGATAAAAAGGCAACGCATAAATCATGAGTATTATTAGTTGATGGGGCATTTGAACAAATTTTATCTTTGCAACTTGAACTTGCAGTATCATAGAAACAAGTGGCTCCAGATGAATTTTTAACACAAGCAGCTTCTAAAGTAATATTTGAACATGTAGTATTTGTTACACATCCACCTCCAGTTTTAGTTATACAGTTATTTCCTGGTAAATATGCTTCACATGCATCATTAGTTGTCAATGTTGTAGGAGCATTTGCACAAGTTCTATTTTAACATCCACCTCCTGTTTTTACTGTACATGTTGATAAGTATGATGTACACAAATCATGAGTATTATTAGTAGTTGGTGCATTTGCACATGTCTTTTCTTTGCATGTTGTATCCCAAATGCAATCAGTTCCAGAAGTATTCTTCACACAAGCTGCTTAGACATTTGCAGCTGAGCATGCTCCATTAGCAACACATCCTCCACCTGATTTAGTGATACATCCAGTAACAAATCCAGCACAAGCTGAATTGGTTGTCATAGTAGTTGGTGCATTTGTACATGTCTTGTCTACACATGCAGTTCCAGTCCAATAGCAATCCCCTCCTGAACTATTCTTAATACAGGCAGCTTAGATAGTTGCAGCTGCACAAGTAGTTCTGGTAACACATCCTCCATTAGCTTTAGTTGTGCATGTTCCATCAGTTCTAAAGGTTTTGCAAGTTTCATCAGTAGTTAATGTTGCTGGTGCATTATCACAAATTCTGTCTTTACATGCTGCTCCATCCCAGTAACATGCTGTTGATCTTAACTTATTCCAAACACATTGAATTTCTAATGTTTAATCACTGCAATTATTTCCACTATCAACACATCCACCTCCAGTTTTTGTTGTACATGTTGATATCACATCTCTGCATTCTTTATCAGTAGCAAATGTTGTTGGTAATTTATCACAAGTATTAGCATCTACACAAGTATTATTTGTTGTATCCCAATAACATAAGCTTCCAGCAGCATTTTTGACACAAGGAAGTTGTTTCTTGTATGTGCTACAAGCATCAATTTCAACACAATGAGTTCCATCTGTAATACATCTATTACTAATTGCTTAACAATCAGAATCAAGTGTTTTAGCAAAAGCTGTACATCCTGTAAAGAATGTGCATTTTTTATCAACCCATGCACATGCAGCATAATTACCGCAATCTGTACATGGTTTGGCTTTTGGACAATCTGCTTCAGCAAAGGTATCACAATATGCAGCATAGGTCACTATTGGAGTGACTGGGGTTGTAGAAACAGCACAAACTTTCTTAGTACTGTCCCATGAGCACCCAAGTGAAGTATTTTTTAAACAATCTCCCTCTGATAACAATTATGCACATGTGCATGGTGTTATACTAAAAGTTTGACTTGTTGCTAAAGCTAGCAACAATGCAAATATGATGAATTATTTATTCATTAAAAGTATTAAGTAATAACTCATAAAATATTCAAGTTAAATACATGAATAAATTTAATTTATTTGCTTACTTTTAATACATATTAATTTTTTTTTTCTTAAACATCAGAATTTGATTTAAGAAATAAATTACATCATTAATATTAATATTGATTATTGTATTAGTACAAAAATTTTAGCCAACTATGGAAACCGAGGAATAAAAATTAAAATGTCATTCTAATTTGAGATTAAGATTTTCGGTTGATGTCCACCTTATCAGTTATATTTTAGTTTTTTTTTTTTTCAATGCTTGTTATGGCGCAAAGGCCTATTCAATTAGCTGAAATTAACCTTATAGATTTGTCAAGCATCTTTTTTATATAAAGTAAGGGTATGAATGAAAAAAAGAATTGATGGAAACAAATAAAAAAAGAAAAAAGAAAAAAAACATTCATTAAATATATCTTTTCTTAATTAAAAAGATGAGTTTTAGTGTTTTAGTTCTATTCGCTTCTGGTAGCTTTATCTTAATTGAATTTAACATAGCTCAAGAACATTTTTTATAATTCTATATACAAAAATATGGCAAATATATTTCTTTTCTTAAAACCTCTTTATTATTTTATTATATGCTAAAATACCAAAATCATAGTTTACTAAGACTCTATAATTTTATAAAGTAAAATGGTAAAGAAAAAAAATTAAATTGAAAAGATAGTAATACTTTTAGAAATTTTCATTGTCTGAGGTCTTATAAATCTTCTCAATGAAATTAGATACTGATCTACATTGTATCTCATATGAAAGAATCACTTATTGAATATCATTGATAACTAACATAAAAATTGAATTACACTAATAATTCCAGAATAATCTAAAATTTATATTAAAACTTTATACTAATTCTAAAAAATTTTTTCCTTCATTCTTTTCAAACTAAAATAGTTAGGATTAAGAATTGTATATTTTGAATAACATACCTATTCAATTTTCATAGATTTTTTATACTCATGATGTTCGTTTATATCAGTGAGAATTTTTATGAAAAAAAATTATTCATTTAATAATCTGGATTGCCATACTATTCATATTAATAATATATAGTTCATTATTTACACACTGATGAATAAGAATTGAATTAAATATGAATAGATGAAATAATTTAAGCTGCTTATTCATTCTATTTCTTGTTTTGAATGTGATATTTTTAACATATTATACTAATTTTTATCATACTTTAAATATGATCTTTAAATATGCAAATAAAAAAATTCATAGCATTGGAATAGTTGGATATGCAAATGGAATTGATAACAGCAAATTCCACTATTATGCGTTAGTGCTTAGAATTGAAAGAATAACAGTTTCAATATAATATAATATAAATTATGATAATGCATAAAAATTGGTAACTACTCGACAGCTAAATGAAGTATCAGCTTCAAGATTAAGCATGAATATAAATAATTACACCAAAACTAAATTTAGAATTAGAAAAAGCTCAAATGGATTCCTATACCCATTCTACTTTTTGTTTGATCAATTTTTTTAAGCTTATTTGCTTTTCCATTAGGCTTTCATTAAATTTCACACGTTTTTGGGAAAATTTAAATAATATTGAAAATTTAGAGTACACCTTCAATATAATCATAATTTGGCAATCACAGCCAAAAAGCCGATGCTATCTGGTAACTTATATTGATCTATTTATTTTTGGGGTTATTTCCATGTAGATGAAACCTAAAAGACTTAGAAAATATATCCTGCCAAAAATAGTATAAATGAAAATACTTCACTATTTAATCAAATCGAAAGAATATATTCATAATACTCGTTTATTCCATCTATTTTCTGAAATAATATTAGGCTTGAATTAATTAACTTATGTTATTTAAAAAAATAATTCGTTATCATATAATTAATCTATGCACAACCTCTTTCTCTATTTATTAGAAAATTTGAGTTATTTATAAATAACAAGTTTCAAAATTCTGAAATACATTAAATGGTAATATATTGAAAAATTATCTAATTAAATAAATTTATAATGCCATATATTTTCAATTAAATTAATAATATAAAAAATGTTTAAATAAACAAAAATATTTATTTGGTAAATAAATGACTAATTTTAGATACCTAAATATTTTCAATAAAAATTATTGATATTTTTAATATTTTATATGGCTGTGGACAAGAATAAACAATAAAATTAAATTAAGTAAAAAATAAATGTGAGATTATCATTTATTTTTCAACTAACTATCTTATTTTTTTTGATATATTATATATTTTTTATTAATTTAAGCTTTTTTGAGAAAATTTACTTGTGTTTAGAAAATAATGTTCAATTAGATCAAATTTAATCTGTATTTTTTGATATATTTTGAAATCCACAAATAATATAAATAAATTCAATATTTTTGTTAAGTAAGGTTCAAACTATATATATATATCCTTCATTCTCTAAGTAACTCACAAAATTACATTGAATCAAAAAAATTTATTAGATCATTTAAAGCAACTTTTGCTAATTATCATAATAAATCGTTTGTTGTATTTAACTTAAAGAGTATTATTCTCTTAAACTAATGCTATTACGAACAAGTTCTTCTTCAATTTACTTAAAATTTTCTTTGCATAGTCTCATTTCTCTTTAACCCTTGTATCAATTATGAATAGCTTATAAAACCAATATCTTTTATTTGAAATGATATTTTACTATAAATTTACATAATTTTAATTTCTAATGGTTAAAGAAATTAAAACCATTTTAATTTATTATGTTTGTAAAATAAAAGTGCTTACGATTCTTTTACACAATATTAAAATGAAATAAGTTTACATTTTCACCAATTTTGAATGATTGATATGTTTATTAGTTATATACACTGATTAGTATAAGTAATTAGATGTACTAAAATATCTAATATTCTTTCAGATCTTGCAATTTACCTATTTATTTTTTTGTAACAGAACTAACAACTTCAGAGGGTAATTATTGAAAGTAATTTATTCAAGTTCTAAAAATTCGTTATACTAAAAGGATTTTTTCAAATAATTTTTTACGAAAATGCTATTATTTCGTTGTAACATTACTATTTTAGTAATTATTAACAAAAATTTATTGTATTTTCAATTTAATTAACTAATTTAAAGGAAAAAAATGATTAATTATTGTAATAATAGATCTATTCGTTATTTAATCTAAATTTTTGATTAAACAAAAGAAATATTATAATTTAATATATGAAATTAGTTATTTATTTAGTTAATTTATTTTCTATATATTATCAATTTCATTCATTTTAATCAATTTTTATCTTATAAAGGTTCTCTTTTAGGTAATAGTAATTTGCGATTATTTGTAGGAGAACGAATTAAAAACATCTATTCTGATTATTTTTAAGTAGTTTATTAAGTTTTAAAGTGGGTTTAAGATGTTTTTGTTTTTTTTACAGTTGAATTTTGCAATAATTCCAATAGTTTTTGTTTTGGAATATTTTCATCATCATTTGAAGTATGTATCAATAATTAATCATATTTCACTTTTTTCTGTTAATTAATGTCATAGTGAATGCTTTAAGATCCATTTAACTAGGATGTTCCAATCATTTTCTCAATTTTAAGTTAAGAATTCTATTAAATCAAAACATCTTCAAAATTTGGCTTTTCATATGGAATAAATTAGATTGCCCTAATATTTCCAAATTAAAGATTTTTTTAAAAGTGTCCTTATGAAGTTAAATGAATTTCATAAAATTTATAAAAAATGTCGAATTTTCTCTTACCTTAGATTTCCTATTGTATTAAATATCTATTTAAATCATCTTTTACTAGTCTTCCATCTATATAATATTTTCTCTCTCCAAAGTTATCAATCGAAATTATACTTTGTTCAGAATTGTTGTGAGTTTTATCCCAAATTTTTTGTTAGTCTAAATCTATTAGATGTGTCCCAGGATATTTACTATAAGGATATAATATATTAAATTATTAATCTTAGCCTTTCTCGAATAAGCTATACATTTTACAAATTTTTCTATTAACTTCATAATCATCATAATCCTCATAGTGATCTTACTCGAACCACTACCATTATTATTTTAAATAATTTTCTGTCTTTTATTCTGGGTTATCAGATACAATTTGATTAAAATGATAGATTATTTTTTTACATCTTTAGTCATCGTTTTCAAGTATAAATATTTATTTAACATCACAATCTTCTTGAAACAAATTATGTATAATTGCTTTTAAAAGTATTTAACTAGCCATACTCATATAAAAACCAAAAATTTGAACACTAATAATTGGAAAAGCAATTTATTTAATTTTTTTCTCCTTAGCCATTTTAAAAATATTACTAACCAATTACTCTATGATTTTTTAGTCACGAGCCAAAGTCTTTGCTTGCCTATAGGTAGGAGGATAAATATTAAAAATATGATCTACATGACATTAAGTATTAACTTTGTAATAAAACAAATCTCCAGGATTTAACTATGATCTATTCTTCATTATTTCTTTGAAAAATTCATGTATATGATTATCAGTCATTTTTAATAAATTTTTTACTTATTGATTTTGAAGGCCAATATCTCCTAATTCACATTTATCATTTAATATTTAATACACAATTGACTCACATTCTATTTGAGTTATATCACCCTTAACTATACTTATTTCTTTTCCATCAAATGTTAATTTTTCAATAATTGCTTATTCAGGTGAAAAACTTACAATTTTTTGGAATTAAAAATAGCTACTAGTCTATTCTTCAATTAATGACAATTCTGGTTGTTTACCAATTAAATTTTCAATTTCCTGTTAAGATAATTCTAAATTATTTATCTTAATATATGTATTCATTCTATTTTCTAATTCTGATAATCTTTTTAATAGATTCAATATTTCGTTTAAAAATCCTTATATGATAATCTTATTTTAACTGCTATTAGTAGCTTTTATAAATTCAATGCTTGTTCCTAACTTTAATTCAATATCTTTCATACAATATTTTGAGTATAAAAGGTTAAAAATTAATTTATTTTCAATTGTTAATTCTTACTTTATCCATTCATTATTATATTATCCTTTTAATTTTAAAAAAAATTCCTTTATATCTTCCAGATGCTCATCTAATCCTAGAAAATATGCAACATGTTAGGGTGCTTAATGTACAAAAATATTATTATTTTATATTAATTCTGGAGATTACAACTAAAAATATTTGAGACTATCTTCATAAAGCAAATTTTATCTTTTCACATTCAAATTAGCAATAAACTAGGTTTTTAAAATATCCTCTATTTTTAACTAATTAAAATTTCTTTTATCAAAAATGACTTAAAATATAATATTTTTGTCATCTACTTCATTAATAGTAACGTTAATCTAGTTTTCGAAATCAGCAAAGAGGCTTTGAAAAACCTGTTTAAATAATTTATTTTTATTTTAACAGTTTTTTAATTAGTTTATTATTTAACTTTTAGCTTCTAATTTAATAGGTTAATATGAGTAAAACTTTAATTTATCAGCCAGTTATTTTTCTAGCTCTCTCCATTTTTCTTAATTAGTTTTTAATGCTATTTCTATAGTTTCTCCATTTTGATGTACATTAAAACATGACTAATATTGTTAAAAGTATTCCTAAAGATAGTTTTCCCAAATAACTTTTTGTTTTTATGAAATTGTTATATTTTTGTAAGGCAAATAAATTCCTTCAATTTAAGTTTTAATTTTTTTGGCTTGATTTAAAAATTCAGTTGAAGTTTATTCGTTGAGTAAAAAAGTAGTTGAAGTAATTTATATTTTTAATCTTGAGTCCTCCAAAGTTTGACAATTAGATATTTCAATATATATATCAGGATATTCTCTTTTGAGAAAGTTAATTTTTTATTTAATTTCCTCTTCATCATAAGGCAAATCATAAAATAGAATACTGTCAGTCACACTTTCTTTCTTTATCATTTAAGAAACTCATTCAATTTATTTTATGATTCTTATATGCTTTTACCATTATATTCAATCAAACAATAAAGTTAATCATGTTTTAATAATAAATTAAAATCAGTTACTTTCCCTAATTAACAAATTAACATATCTAATTTCAAAAGTATAATATCTTTGAATTTAAAACCTAGTTGCTTCTCTATTATATTATAGCCACCTTTATCATATATGATTTTAAATTTTGCAAATGCTTCCGCATTAGATTAACACTCAATTTGCAAGATAATTGTATTTTCAAAATAATGACAAATAGTATCAAAAAAAAAAAAATCTAAATCTGTTACGTCAACTTACCTAATTTAAGGAGAAGGTATTTGTAGATAACATCCTTCATAATTAACTTCAATATGACCTCCAATCTATGAAATGTATTCTTAAAAAGTTGGTAAAATATTAACACTGTATATGATCGTTTATATAAGAGATTAGAGATTATTTTCAGGTTAACCTTTAAATTTATAAATTCTCTATTGAAATAATTTATCTTCTTCATTAATTGTTGTTTGATTGAATGCCATTTTCAATAATTAATATTGTTCCTTTTATTATTTCTATTGATTATCTCCCAGTCTATCAAGTAAATTTACTACAATTTTAATATTGCCTTATCCATAATAATTTTATATAAATTTTTCTAACTATTCTTTGCAATTTTTATTAAGTTATTATCTTTTACTTAGTTCTATAATAATTTCAGTTCCTTAAGATTAAGGATTATTATAAAAATTTATGTCAGTCTATTATTCATCTAATCTTAACGAATATTATTACTTTTGAATTATGAAGATCCTTTCATTTCATTTTCAGACATGTAATAAGATTTAGTCATATTTTGATTTGATTTGTTATGGAATTATGATTAGTTAGTATTGAACCTTGGACTTTTTTCAATTTTAGGAAATTTTGTTTCTTATGTAGGATTTCTCATTTTTAACGAATTTTTAAAATTAAAATTATTTAATTGATCATTTACAATTTATAAAGGTAGATATTTTCAATTACATTTAATTCTATTTTATTTTATGAATACATATAATAATAAAATTTAACCATTTTAAACAGAATAATTAATATTAATCATCATTTATATTTATAAATGCATAAGAAAGATTCTATTATCATGTAAATAATTTGTATCTATTTTGGCATCAAAAATGATATTAATTCAAATATTAAAGTTTTTAATATCATACAGTATTATGCTGAATAAATGCTTGTAATGTGTGGTTTAATTTGCAAATTATTGTTATGAATTATTCAACATTAGTTATAATCTAAATAAATTGTTAAAAATTTCTATTTAAATAGACAGCAAAATTGTTAATAAGAATCATAATGCTACTACCTTATCAGTCTTTTAATCCAAAAAGATTAATTATAACCTTATGTTAATTTCAAACTCCAAATAATCTTATTATTTTTTATATAATTTATTTTTTGTTTTAATTGGAAAAAGTCCTCTAAGATAATTAACTTTTGTTCAAAAATTGTCTCCTATTTTTAAGTTCATCTCAGCCAACTAATGAGATAAAAGTTTAAAGAATCTTTATTCATAAATTATGAGATCTAAATCAGATGAATTTTATAACAATTTTTGAATTTTGCAAAATAATTATTTTATTATTATTATATTCTTTTTATTGGAACTTTAATAAATTAAGTTGAATAATAAGAGTAGATTAAAGTAGATTGTTGAAATACTCTTAAAAAAAATAATGAAATTTATAATTATTTCAATAAATAAGACTAATTTCTATTTGGAGAAAAAAATAATTCATGTATAATGAATTAATATATATATTATTGAAGAATTAAAGTATTATAATTTAAATTTAAGGATTACTTTGTGTTTCTGGGTATGCTGATTAAGGTTTTATGAATTAATTAAATATATAAAAAAATTTAAATCTTTTTTAATATTATGGCTCACAGAATTCAAGAAAATGCAGGAATGATCAATGATGAAAAATAGGTTGTTGATATTTATGTTCCAAGAAAGTGCTAATATACTAATATGATTCTTAATAGCAGTGATTACTCAAGTGTATAAATTAATGTTGGATAAGTAATGATTGTTAATAACAATTAAGGTTGATGAGAATGGAGTTTACAATAAAAAGAATAGCACAGTGATCTTGGCTGGATATTTGAGATAAAAGGGATAAAGTGCTTCTGCTTTAGAGGCAATTCTTAGACAAAGAGGAGTATTACCATTTACATAATGAGACATATATGATTTATGAATATATAGTACATTAATAGATTATATTCACAGATTGCAAATGCTATTTCTATAATATTAACAAATCTGTTCTGCAAGAATGACGAGATTAGCAGGCACTTTTTCTTCTTGCATTACTTATTTGATTAATTAAACAAATAAATTAAAGGTTTGCTCAGTGATTTTGAGTGGATAATGGATAACCCTCAAGTCATTAGATTTATAGATTTAAGAGTTTTTGAAAATGAAAGCAATAATTTTCTTTATATGAGACTTGATTTGATAATCGGCATTTCTGAAATGATCACTATAAACTTCGTTATCTTGGAGATTGATTTAAATTTTGAATTGAACTGAATCTATGACATTTTAACCTATTACACTCTCAATAGTGCATTGATTCATAATAGTGTATCTAAGTTGAAACCATGTATCTGCATAATCTTATAGAATAAGTCTATCGAGAGTATAGCTTTTAATAAGATGAAAGAAATTGTCTCTAAAAGCATCAATCCATTCATGTTAAATAATACAATGTCTATGCAAAGTCTTAAGATCAATTTTGGTTAGCAATGGTTGATGTTAATGTGTGACATATTTCAGAAGGAAGTGAGCATGTCTTAACAACGCAGCTATATTAGGGAAATTTCTGAATCTGGGATCCTTTTAAAGAAGTACTTCATATTTCTTAACTTAAACTTTGAATAGAGTAGAAGATTGAAAATAGAAATCAAGTAAACAATCTTAATTTACTATACAACTTCTATATCCATCCATTCTTTGAGTAATTAATTCTATTTAATCTTCTTTCAATCCTATATCTTTCATTGATTCCACAAGATAAGATTTAAATAATGTGAAATGTACATTTGTTAGATTCATTTATTTATGTGATTTCCTAAGGTAATTCAATACATAATCAACACTACAATCCCATCCCATCATTTAATGAACTATCCTACCTAATTTTTTAGCTTATTCATCCATTCTAATTCCAATGAAATATTCACATAAAGTTTAATCTTCTTGAATCTTTTAATATGTCTAATCTGCTAAATTCACTATAGATTCTGGTGTCTCTTCTGTATTATTTTCTGTCTTCTTATTGAATATTTGAGCAAAAGTTTGTTCAGTTGTTATAATACAATATTTATATTATTCTATTAGTGCACTGAATTCAAAAATCAACTCTGGTGGACCCTTATTACATTTAATGAAACTACTCTAAAATTTAAATTTATTAATTACTATGAGATAACTCTTGAACTGGTTATATTATTCATTAGTGATTTACAAAGGAATATGTTTCTATTTAAGATTTTCTATGTTAAAGAATACAGGTTTCCCCATTATATACTCTAGGAATGTAGCAAATTTCAATTCATACATTTAAGGATCATCAATTTCTTTATAAATTATTTGATTGATTACTCTAAATTATTGGATGATGTTAGGAATGTTAATGAAACATTCTAGCTATTCCTCTTATAGTCTCTTCTCCTCCTATTTTAGTTAAAAATATCCCATCATCTTCCTCTTAGGGTAATTTTATACAAAAAGCACTTTTGGATGTTATTGGAGATAATTTTATTTATTTTTAACAATTAGTTGACTTTCGAGTTATTGATAATGGCATTTAAACCTTACATCTTGGAGTAGTTGATTGATTTATTGGACATTGTTGAGGTACAATATTTTTAGTCATACTCAAAACAAAATGTTCTTTCATCTTCTAAAGTTCTGGAATCACAGGTTCAAGTTTAGGAAGTGTTGGAGATTTTTTGATAATTTCAGTATGCTATCTACGAATTTTTGCTTATCTTGGTTCTTAAAGTGCATGAACGTAATCAGCAAATGATTAGATTGGTTTAACTCTTCCTTTGTCTAAATGGTCATCCGATTATGTCAAGAAATCATATTACCTAGATGAAAATGGACAGTTCTGCTAAAACTATTGATTCATAATAATTATTAATAACTTTATCAAATAGTCATTACTTTATCTAATCAGCAAATCTATCCCTTAAAAGGATCATGAATTCTTAATAATCAATCTATATATAATTTCAATATTAATACCTCCCCATCCTTATTTAAATCAGCTTATTTAATTAATTCTTCAATATCTATATCTCTTATAGATATAGTATCAGTATGAAAAATATCCATTAATTCGTTTTTAGATATTCTTCCACTATTATCTTAATCTATCCTTCTAAATTATTCTTCAATAAATCTCTCATTCTAAAATTATGGACATACTAAAAATGCTGCTATAAATTCACTGTAATCTACTTATCCACTTTAATCAATATCCATTGACTTAAATAATTGAGTAACAAAATTCTTATCCATATTTTTATGTTTCATATTTTTAAATCCTGTCAATCCTTCAATCATTTCATCTAATGAAATCATACCATTCCCATCTTTATCCATAGAAACAAATAATTATCTTAATGATGTTACTTCATTCTCAGGTATAAATGTTGCTAAATATAATAACATTGTTTTCTTCATCTATTATGCATTAATCATTTTCTCTAAACCCTTTATTGCATCATCATGTAATTTCAAATTCATTAATTCATGACTAACTTATTACTATACCCAAGGATGATTATAAGCTTATTTTGCACTAAATCTTTTCTTAGGTTCCATCACTAATAATTTCTAAATCAAATCCCTAACCTCTCCTCAATATTTATACAATTACCTCTTCACTTGCTCCCTTAAATCCAGCTTTTGAAAATGTAAATATACCTTTCTATATATTCTTTATAGTCTCTTAAGGATTTCTACCTGGAAATGGTGGTTATCCACACATCATTACATATAATATCACACCTAATGACCAATAATCAACTTCATATGAATATTATCCTTTAATAATTTCTGGAGCTATATAAAATAAACTCCCATTTGGTTAAGTCATAATTTCATCCTCTCTAAAAAATCTTGCTAATCCAAAATCAATCAATTTTATTGAAGACTCATCATTCTTATTTTTTAATAAGAAATTCTCAGGCTTTAAATCTCTATGAACTATTTTATGTTCATGTAGATATGCTACTGCTGTAAATATTTATCTCATTATCTTAGCTGCTTACATCTCAGTCAAATGTTGAGTCTTTGTTATATAGTAAAATAATTCACCACCCTCACACATTCTATCATAAATATTATCTATACTCTGTTACTAAATAAACTGTCTTCTCAGTTTCATATACCTCATACATTTTTAAAATATTTGGATGATCCTCTACTCAAATTTATATATTACAATCTTTCTAAGAATAGATAATTCATTCTTAAAACTTTCCTTATCCACTACACGATCTTTTGCAATTGCTTTAATTGCTCTTTTAATACCTAATGAGTATACATTTTATACCTGTTGATTTTTATTCAGTTTCAAACACTACACCAAAACCACCTGCTCCTATTTCCTTTATAAATTTATAATCCTTCTTTATATTTGCTATTAATGTACAATATTTATAAATTACTTTTTATGCTTGAATTTATGAAATGAGCCTTCTTTATTTTCATTTATTAATCAATTTAAGAGTCCATTATTCTATAAAATATTAAATATACAATTATAAAATTTACAACCTATTATAAAATCTAATTCTATAAACTTTTTTTGATCATTGAATCATATTTTACAAGTTCAAATAGATAATATTGTAATAAGGTACATAAATAATATTTTTAAATAAAAAATGAGTTAAGGAGAAACCTAAACAAAAATTAATTTTTTTAGAAGACCAACTGTTAACAAATAATATCTTAAAGGCATTTAGTAACAAGATGGCTCATAATATTCGGAAACTTTTTACAAAAAATTTGACTCTATAAAATAGTAGAATATAAAAATAAGTGTGAAAAAAAATTGCTCAGAAGAAAAAGAATAACAAAAAGGATATGAAATTTCTGTAAAAATATCAAAAGAGAATTCATTTGATGAAGCATATTAAGAGAAATTAATCTAATTTATTAAGAAATTTTTTTTTAATGGCCAATTCTAATTAGCACTATCTTACCCTCATATAATGGGAGAAAAATAAAAAAATGATTTATCAAAAGAATATAAAGATCTATAATGTTAGATGAAAGAAATAGTATTTGATGAATCTGATTATTTATTTTATTAAAAAATTTACCAATTCAAAGGTTAAGAAAAGTTTGGAATATCTGCTGATTTGTAAATGCTAATATTTGATAAATTTATATTTTAAGATTTGAAATCTAAGGCTAAAACAGAAGGGTATCATTTTGAATGCAATTTTAAAGAATATTAATGTTCCATCCCAACTCCTAATAATACATTACATGATATAAAGAAACAAATGCAATTCTTCGTTAATAATGTCTACAATACTTTAAATAAATATGATATCATTGAAATTGATACTAAAACAAAGTAGGAATCCTAAATAATCTATTAATTGGTGTAAAAATATCAATAAGTGATTTCTTAAGAAATGAATACAAAAGTATTTCCTGTGATCATTAATCTTAATAATTTATAGGAAAACCCTAAAAAATATATAGATGGTGATTTTATTAAAAACATCAATTAAACATTAAAGTATGATAAACTCTATTTAGTTGTTGAGAAAAATGATTAATATTTAGATGTAATTTATTAAGAATATATGAAATTTATGAATAGTAGAAATAACATTTTTTATGAAAGTTATAAGAATGAAGTTAAATTTAAAGAAATTTATGATGAGTCTCTTAATTAACAATTGGAAAATTTGTAAAAAGAGTTTAAAAATATAAGTATCTATGTATCCCTCCCAAAATAAATTAATAATAATGAATATGAAGTTTAAATTTTATGTGAAACTTGGCAAGATGTTATGATAAATCCTTTTAAATTTAAATAAGACTGTAACTAAATCATAAAAAAGTTATAACATATTTATACACCATATATTCAAATAAGAATGAAGGATTCATAAAAAGTATTAATTTGGTAGGAATATTTGAAGAGCTAGCTTGATAAATAATTGATTTAATATATCAATGATGGTACTAAGAGGTCGAATCGTAACGAAAATTAAAATGATTTTATTATTAGAATATCAACAAATCATCCTTAATACGAAGAAGAATAGAGAAGAATAAAATAACAATTAGAAAATTTTCAATTATCGAATATTGATGTATATAATGATAATGTATAACTATAAAAATTCATTGCTGAAAATATTGATAAAGATGAATTTGAAAATATTTTAAACAACTTCCAACAGCAAGAAAATGCAAAAATAGCCTAAATTAAATTATTAGCTGTTTAGGGATAGAAATTTCAATTTAAAGTTATTCATTATAATCAATATTCTAGAAATGATATAGAAGATGTGATAAAAAGTTAATTCGTTAATGATCTAAAATAATTAGAAATAAAATTTCCTTTTATCTCATTTCTTAAGTATCTAAAGTTAGAAATTCCAAAACAAATTACAGATAAAGATATTTTATCAGTTATCCCTAAGGATAATAAATAAAAGGTAATTATTATAGGGAAAAACTAACATATATTGAAATTTCAAGATATTATTAAAGAAATTGAAAAAAAATATTAGGATAATAGAATGAAAATTCAACTTTTTATCAAGCAAAAATCACTTTTAGATGAGATATTTAAGAATTTGAAATAGCAAGACTTTTGTGATGTTTATTATGATATATAAACTATTGAATTTTTGAAGCAAGACTTTGACATTATCTATAACTTTTTAAAAAATTTAGAACAATCTTATGAGACTTCTAAGGTGCTTATTCTGGATGTTAATGGTTATAAGAAAATTGAAAAGATAAATCTAAAAGAAATTGAAAAAAAAGAATAAGTAATTATTGATATTTAAAGTGTCTCTATAATAAATCCTCTAACAGCAAAAGGGTTTCTTCTAAATATAGGATATAATAAACAAATAAAATTTATAAAAGGGAATATATCTTAAATCTAATGTTAAGCTATTGTTTTAGAATTTTTGAAAAATGTCGATTTTAGCGAAGAAAGACTTTAAAATGATTAAATCAAAAATATAATAAACTTCATTTAAGGGGAAAATAACAAAAAAGAATTATTATAATAATGGAAGCATTAAAGTTAAGAATAAGATATAGAAGATATTCATTGTAAAAAATTGGAAAATCATAAAAATTAAATAGAGTATTTATTTTAAATTTATCCAAAATTTAATAGGCAAGCTGCAAGTTTGGAAAATAATTTATTGCATATTAAATCTCTGATTACATAAGTATTTTAAAAAAGCAAAGAACACAATATAACATAAATTGCATTTCCACTCATTGGAGTTGGATTATTTGGTTATAGCTTAAAAGAAATTTAATAAGTTTTAATTTAAGAAATAATCTCTTAATTGTCATATTAAAATTGTTAAATATCATAAGTATTTGTAGTTATTTAGAATGAATAGGATTATAGATAAGTTTAAGAATATTGTAAAAATATTTCAAATAACACAAATTTGAATTAGACTAATTATAATTTATAAAGTATTAGTACATAGGTACCTTGTTGCTAAATTTAAATAGATGGTGATCTAATTGATATTGAAGATTCTAATGTAAGTGAGCAAATTAGTTATAAATATTAACAATTAAAATAAGGTTAATAAATTGAACCTTTTACTATTACACACCCTTATTCAAAATATCCATTCACTCATTCAATTGATTTGAAAAATAATAAAATGATACAAAAAAAAGACAATACTTAGTCGAAAATTGAGTTTATAGATTTATTTAAACAAAGAATATACTTTATTGATTAACAATAAGTATCTGAAAGTCTAAATTAATATTTAATATTAAAGCATGAATAAAATAAGCTAAATGAATTTGAAATATATTATGCATAAGATGAAGTGAAAGTAATTCATTCTTAATTTTACATAAAAACCAATATTTTTGAAAATTTTTAAAAAGTTTTTATTAAATCTAAGAAAGATTAATTTAAAAAAACTAATAGGGAAATTCAAATTAATTTTGAACAATTTGAATAATAAGGTGAAGAAACAGATAATAATGACTAAAAATGGTAACTTGAGATATTGTCTGACAATACATAAAAAATTAAGAGAGCCATAGATTCAATTAAAGAACGATATGAATTAGAGATTAGATGAATATAAATGATAAGAATATACAATATCAAAATATTAAAAATATATTATAAAAATATATAAATACAACGCCGATCTATTTCTTATTACTTTGATTTGATTGTATTATATAATTTAAAATTAACTAATAATAGATATTATTTAGGAATTTAAAATAAAAAAATAGTAATAAATATATAATTAATAAAAATATTCAATTAATTTATTCTATTAATATTATTTTCCTGATATCTCTTTCCAAATAATCATTTAAAAATATTGAATCTTATGGAAATATTTATGTAATCTTTTTAACATACTTTAATTTATTTTTCATTCTTGGATAAACTCTTAAATAAACTATCAAACATCCTAAAACAATTAATATAAAAGATGATGTAAGTATCCACTATAAATTATCAATAATAATATTTACATTTAGAATATTATCTAATTTATTGATTTGATCTACTATATCTTACAACATTTAATCACACAATGAACTTATTACTTCTGAACAAAGATAAACTGCTTCTAATTCTTCCATAGGTATTATAGTTCTATTAATTAATCCATTATCTAATTCATATTTCAATTAATAATTAAAATCACTCAAAGTTGGTAATAGACCTCTCTTCAAAATACCACTTTTTGAATTTTCACAAAAATAATCAAATTCAACATAATTACTCTATAATATTTAAATAATTAATTACTTTATTTAATAATGGACATATATTGTTCGATCCAATATATTAATAATAATTCAAAAAATCATTAGAAAATTGTAACTCATCTGCATAAACATCAGTTGAAATGAATTTATTAATTTTCTCTATACCTATAGAAACTTATTCCATAAATTAAACTCTGTCTTCAGAAGTAAAGAATTGAAATCTATTCCAAAAATATAAAATTTCTTTTTGTGAAAATGCTGCTGGTACATAAACACCAACATCTGAGAATAACTTAAAATAATTAAATGTCTTAGGAAACAGTTAATAGAATGATGTTATAATAAGTGTTAAGGTCATTATGATTCCAGCACATACTATGAATATTAGGAAATAAATTTGAATTAACTTAATTATAGGTGTTTATTTATTATATAAGGTTTCATCTTTAACATTATTTTTTCCTCTCATATTTTCCATAATAATTGATTCTTTTGCATTTAAATTAAATCTATATTTATATATCATATCTGAATCAGATTTGAGATGATTGATCAAAAAGGAAAGTCTCTTAAGATCTTTACTTACACTTTATAAATCTGTAAATGATCTTAGATTGATGAATTTATCAATAATTCTTTTGAGATGTCTTATATATAGAAAGGATCCTAAAAGAAAAAAAGTTGAAATTAATTGTGTTGGAAAACAAAGGAATAACCACAAATTTTCGGTTGCTTTCATTTAATTTAAGAATTGTTATTAAATCTAATTAGATATATCATCAAAAATAGTAATAAATTAAATATAATTTAAATATTAGAAGGTTTAATGAGGTGCTACACCTAAGATATTGACATTAAATGACTACAAATAAATTAATTCTTATTTATAGAATGCATCTAATAATTAAGCAAAAGCTGATTATACTGTAATATTGTAAACTTAAGTACTTATAGGAATATAATGAATTGTTTATTATTTTACATTCATATATTAGTTAAATAAGAATTCTTGAAATTTTTATTCTTAAAAATGTTCCTAAAAATTAAGTCTCATTATTGAATATTCTCTAATTATATTTGCTATAGAGAATGATTAATAGAATTGATTTTCAGCTTCACTAATCTAATTCAAGTATCTGAGGTAGAAGTAATCTTATACAGTAAATCTAGCCAAGTAAAACTTATGAATAGGTTCAATAAAAAAATGATTAATTTAAATTTAATCATAATACAAGATTACTTTTTAGAGATCATATGCTTTTAATATAGAAAACTAATATATAATAATAAATTTATTACTAGTATTATAAATATCAGAATAATAAACAAGACCATAAATAAATTAATTGTTGATTTAAGTATATGTGGTTGTGTGGCATTAGAATTGATTATTGTGTAATATAAACAGTACTTTTTATAGAATTGAGATTTTCTTAATTATTCATAAGAAGCATTTGATTATGCATCCTATTAGAAAGATACTGTATCATCTTCTTATTCATTTTAATAAATATTGCCTAACATTTTAATTGTTTATTATTCATTTTCAACTAATTATGAAATACTATTTTAAATATTGGATTCAATTAATTAGATTTTTTTGGTAATCTATTTTTAGGTGGATCTTAAAAAGTATTGATTTGATTAATTTTATTGATTTTCATTTAGAGGAGAAAAGAATTAAAAGCATTCATCATAAGGACTAATAACAGCATCTTCATCATTTATAATAGATGGAAATTCACCTGAATTATAGTATTCAATTTATTTTTATGTTTAAATAGAAGCTTCACATTCCATCATTCTATAGATTCTAATGATACTATATGAATTTCTTATTTGGATATCACCTTGTACTTCAAAAAGATTAAAAGAATGTCTTTATTTACATAGATTTATTTTTTAACTTAGACTTTAACTTTACATTAATAAACATAACTCTTCATTTGGAAAAGTAATAACTGATTTAGTAGTAGATTCTATAGTAAATTAGGATAATGAAAAAAACAATGAGGATGGTAATCCATATAATAATTTTTCAATTTAGATAGTATCAATTACTAATTATGAAAAATTCATCATCTTAAAGAAATCTTTACTGATTCCTTAAATTTTTGTATTTTCATCTACAATCAAAATTCCTAAATGAGTTTCTAGTTTTTAAATAAAGGAGATAAATTAAAAAAAAGATTATTAATCAAATTAGATATCATAAAAAAAGTGAATAGGTTATAAATATCCAGTTTTACATTAACAAAAATTTATACCTTTTGTTCTAAAATATAATCCTTTACCTGTCTATAAAAATTTATCTATCTCTTAATCATGAGTATCTCTAATACAATAAGGAAGAAGGACATTTGCATCTTTTAATTAAGAAAATTATTCTTAATCCCATCCAAATATTTCACAAGCCTTTTTAGAAATGCCTTACAAATATAATTTCTTATTTTCATATACAAATACAAGATAAGTCATTTTATTGGAGATACTATTAATGTCACTTGAGATGAATTGTTAATAAGTATTATTATCAAATGAATTAAAATTACAGAATTCATAGGCCCTATACCAATCATTTACAATTTCTCCCATAAAAAACATTAAAATAGATTAATTTTTAGAACTAGGAAATCTTAAAAATATTTATTTCAATTCATTTTCTCTTTTAATACTTTCTAAAGCAAAAGTTTCAATATATTCATATAATTCATCATTATTTAATATTAAAAGGGATGATAAGATTTAGATTTTTAATTTAATTAATGATATTAAATTATTTCTTATTTAAAGATGAAATGATTCAGAATGTAAAAATGCTGTTATTTTTGCAGATAATTCAAGACATTCTTTATTGTCTGTTTCTAATTATTATGCAAATTTATTGTACATCTATTTTTTAATAATAAATGTAAACACAATCCAATTGATTTATTATACAAAAGTTAACAAATATTTATATTTCTAATCTTCTATACGATAATAGATTTCTTAATGATATCCTAATTAATGTAAGGCTGATAAAAGATGACACATCTTATAAAAATGTTTACCTTTCTTATGTAAATTTAGTTATCTGAATTATTGAACAATTGAATTTTAAAATGATTAAAAGATATCCAATTAAATTAGATTTAATTCTAATGGATCCATAGCATTATATTTATTTTAACATGAACAATTAACTGATTAACAATATTTGATATGTTTGCTAAATTTAATACCATTAAGAAGACAATTTTTTTATTTAGAAAATTGATTATCTGCAAATATAAAACAAACTAAAAAATGTAACATATCTATAGATAATTTTTATGGATCATTAACTATTATAAATTCAATTTAATAACTTAAAATATTCCAAAGACAGAATATCAGTAATGGATTTAATAACATTAAATATCCTAAATTGAAATTCTATTCTCCAAATATACATATTGACATAATCAATCCTGATGAAGAAAAAAATAGTAGAATGAAACAATGATTGAAATCACAATACTTCATTTAAATCAATATTGTGTATATTCTAATAATACTAATTGAGAGATATATTACACCTTAAAAATATAGTGTTATAGGACTATCAAATAAAATAAATATATAGGATTAAAGTATTCTAAGAACATAGATGATAAAATCTAAATAATCATCTTCAATTTTTTTATCCATTTTATCTGTTAATAATAAAGTAGTATTATTTAAGATATAATAGCTTATTGAAAATACATGAACAAACAGGAGAAATACTAGATTTTAAATAATATAGTAAAGATTAATTTGATTAGATTAAAAATTAGTATACAAATTAAACAATCCCAAACAAAGCAAAGGTTAAAGTAACATATAATTTATTATTTTAGAAGTAAGCATCAAATAATATATTGGAATTGATTATAATTATTTTGTTTCAAATGTTTTCATCTGAGTTATTTTTTATTTCTAATTCTCAAAACATAAGGAAATTAACAATATTATTATCCAAGCATTCATGATCAAAACAGAATACTCAGCTAAATATACTTACTCTAAAAATTCAAGGAGAATTACTTTTGGTATTTCCATAATTGATTCAAATTAATTCTGTCTACTTCTATTTGATATAAAAGGGTAGATCAGAAAAAATATACTCAATATTTGACTTAAGATCACATAAAAGAGAGTATGTTTCCATTTAAGTTTATTTTCCTAGAAATTTAATTGTATCAACAAATATTCAAGCATCTCCAATTTCATATTGAAACTATAATATTTAATGTAAATATAATAATAAATCAATTCATATCAAACTATTTTCAAATCAATTTCTCACTTGTAACCATTCTTCTAAGTTCTCTTTCATAATGAT